TAAAGATTTTATTTATTTATTTGACAGAGAGAGATCACAAGTAGGCAGAGAGGCAGGCAGAGAGAGAGGGGGGAAGCAGGCTCCCCGCCGAGCAGAGAGCCCGATGTGGGGCTCGATCCCAGGACCCTGGGATCATGACCTGAGCCGAAGACAGAGGCTTTAACCCACTGAGCCACCCAGGCACCCTCCTCCCTCCGCTATTTACCGAAGCCAGGCTGTGGGATGAGCCCGAGTGCTTGCTGGGCTCGAGAGAGGAGATGCCACTCAGCGTGTCGTTGCTCTTGCTGCTGGGACTCTGGATCCTCCGGCTGGAGTAGCCTGTGAGGAATGGGAGGGCCAGGGGACATAGCCGTGGAGTTCAGCCTCTGCACAGGCTGTTCCCACCTCCAGACAACCCTCCCCCTCCTCATCTGGGAGCTTGTTCTACCTCCCCTTCAAAGGCAGGGGGATGGCAGAGCACCCAGGGGCACGCGCCCGGCACAGTGTGACACCTCTGCCTGTCCGGCCTGCTCACTTCCCTATCCCTGTCCTCTGGCACAGGGCCTGGCCCAGAGGGCCCCGGATCTTCCAGATAAGCTGGAGAAGGAGGGCTGGCGACTTCTCCGCCTACTTCTCACTCAGTGTCCCCTGTGTGCTGACTGATTTGGCATTCTCCTCCTTCCAGAAAGAATCTGAGACAGCAACTTCTTGAAATATACATAAAACTTTTCTTCTGAAGTGAGAAAAGTAGGGAAGGGGAAAGAGGGTAACCCCAGAGGTGATGGCGGTAGGATGGGATGAGCAAGCGAGGGGTCGGCACAGGGGCGACTCCAGGTGTCCCCCTGGGGGCTGTGAACACAGAAACCCAGCTACATCTGCACTTCTCAGGTCCTGTTGTAGACTAGTCTTAAAGCTTCTTTTTCTAGATGTAAAGAGAAAACTTTCCCTTTGTGACGATAGTTCACAATGAAAATTCATTTTTGGGTAAGGGGATTTCTTCCTTCCTCCTCTTCGTTTTTTGCTTTTTGTTTGTTTTTTTTTTTTTAAAGTAGGCTCCATGCCCAGCATGGGGCTTGAACTCATGACACTGAGATCAAGAGTTGCACGCTCTACTGACTGAGCCAGGCAGGCACCCCAAGGGGGATTTTTCCTTCCTAAACCAGGTTTCTCCCCACATGGGAGCCTGTGAGGACTTCCTGCCTGGAGAAGAGATCCACAGGACGTTCAGGCGTGGCAAACACGGGGTTGCTGGGTTACAAAATGAAACGGGGTCTATTAGGGTTTTGAAAGCCACACCAGCAGACTCAAAATGGCTTAGAGGCTACCAGGGCCTGGGGGGAGGGGGGAGGGGCTGACTACACAGGACACGGGGACTGAGAGCATGGTGGTACAGTTTTTGATGTGGTATAAATACAGGTCTCTGGGTGGCCCACGAAATTGCATCAAGAACTGTATGCTCAAAAGGCTGAACTGAACTTAAAAGAAAAAGGGTGCAGGGGGCGGGGGATGGGGAGAATACCATCTGGCTCAGGAACCACGTGGTCCTTCTTGTTCCTGAGCCAGGGGACCTCCCTCCCTGGGCAGAGAAGCTGCACCCCGCCAGCCCCCTCTGGACACAGCTACTCCCAAGGGTTCTGCGGATATCGAGAACTACCACCACCGACAGGACATACGCATCGGGGTTGCATCACCCACCAGTCCCCTGACTTGGTGAAGACTCAGGGAAAGGTCTACTGCCAACCCCGCCTCCCGGAGGAGGGGAACTTGGCTTGGAGACAGGACATCCCTAGCCTAAGATCCGACGGTGACTGGGGGCCCAGGTGGGACCTGACTCCAGGTCAGGCCCTCCCCGAGTGCCTCATACCCACCTTTCTTCACCGATGGGACCTTCCTGGCCATGAGGATGGGCAGGGGCACCGTGCCCAGATGTGCACCTCCCATCTCGGGGCCGACCTGCTTCTTCCTCCGCCGTCGCCTCTTTAGCTGGTGGGCGGCCAGGGCCAGGGCCACTGTGCCCAGGGCTGTGGCAAAGAGGACCTTCCGCAGGCCTGGTGTCAACCGCAGCTGGGAGAAGGCAGACTGCAGGAAAAGAGGGAGGCGGCTGGGCTACATCTCCCCAGAAGAGCTCTGAGGTGGGCAGAGCTGTGCTGGGGAGCACATGAGGGACACAGGAGGCCTCAGGCACTCAGGGAACATTTGCTGACCA